ATTATGAGTATGTTTGGTAGTGAGGTGGCTTATTATCATCCACACATTTAGATATGTCTACTTGAAAATAATCCCCACTTATTTATTCACCCCATCGAATGGTTGGCTGAGAAGTGGTCACCTCACTACCAAGCACCAAATATGGTGCTTGGATTATGAGTATGTTTGGTAGTGAGGTGGCTTATTATCATCCACACATTTAGATATGTCTACTTGAAAATAATCCCCACTTATTTATTCACCCCATCGAATGGTTGGCTGAGAAGTGGTCACCTCACTACCAAGCACCAAATATGGTGCTTGGTACCAAGCATGCACATTATTCTCTCTCTCTATATATATACACACACACACACGCACACACACACACATATATGAGAATAATGAGTATGCCTTGTACCTAGCATCAAATTTGATACTTAGTAGTGAGGTGACCACTTCTCATCCACTCATTCAATGAGTGAGTAAATAGTGGGGACCATTTTTAAGTGGAGATCTTTAAGGGTCATTTGTTGCAATGTATTTGAGAGAAAATAAGGTATAGAGCTTTTATGGGATCCAATACCAACTTTACCTTCTTTACCTTATCTGGTTCATAAAAAAACAAGCCCATTTTGTTGAGGTGGCACTCAAAGCCATCTCCCTAGCAGAGGGAAAGGAATTGGGGTGGAAAGCTTGTGCTTGTTAGGCTGAGGTGGACGACCCACTTCCAAATGTTATCATAACTACTCTCAGTTACCACCAATTACCAAAAACATCCAAACAACCCCTATATGTGCCACCTCAGTTCCAAGCACCATATTTATGCTTAGTAACAAGCATACACATTATTCTCTCTGTTCTCTGTGTGTGTACGTGTGTGTACGTTTGTGTGTATATGTGTGTGTATATACATCTTACATTAGATCGAATATTAAATTAAAATACCTATGGTATTTGTATGTTTCTTTCTATTTTCTATAACAATTAATAATCAACTTAAATCAAACAAAGAATAAGGTTTAACAACAAATGTTTAGTTTTGATAGCATGAGATAATACGATTGGTGTTTTCAAATATTGAAGTAATGGATTTTAGTTTTCGGGTCCGATTGGTTTTGATATGAACCCAATATTACCAAAGAAACTAGTTTAGGGTATAAATAATAGGGAAATTCGGTTTTACTTTGAACCACACGTGTCTATGGCGTGTTCGCAGAGAATCCGTGTTGGACACTTGGACATGTGTCGGACAGGGACACGACATGCAAAATGATGTGTCCGAGTAACCTGGATTATTACTAAACGTGAGGGTTATTTGATATGATTTGTTTATTTTGGAATTTTTTTTGTTTTATGTGTATTGGGAGATTAAATGACTTAGGTCATGTGATTTATTTGTGAATTTTGAAGAATGTGGATTGCTGGGAGCACAATGTTATAAGAGAACTTTAGGGTTCTGAATTCTCTATTATTGTTTTGATTTAAACAGTACACGTGACGTTAGTTGAGAGTCTTGAGACCGGAATACTAAAATCAAATCTTTGTCTAGGCAGAAGGATACTAGAGAATCTTTCAAGATTGTTTGAAACTTTGAGCTTTGAACTAATTCAAGAATATGTTTGGAGAAAGAAATGATCTTTCAACTAAAAAAAGAAAATTATATTCGTCCTACCTTAGTATATGGCTATATGCAACATTAGATGCCTCAATGTTAACACCATGGTATTGTTTTTGTTGAAGTTGTATCAGAAGTCCAAGTGAAATGTCGACTAACTTACATGAGTTATATTTAAACTTGGAATTATCTTCTTCCCCGATTGGCACATATCTAACCCTAATGTAGTGTATTTAGGCAAGTGTTTCAAATAATGTCTAAACAAATACCACCATTGACATGTGTTATTGAGAATTATATCTCATCCTATATGAATATCCCCCCTTTTGTTATCTTTCTCTTGCAGAAGGATAACTTGGGGCCTATTCTCTGAGCTTAAATAACATGTCCAACCTAAGTTTTATATCTTCCAGTTGATAATACATGGATTTGGTCTTTTGGCAAGTCCCTCTCTTGCTTCTAAGATTAGACCACGCTTTTGGCACAAACTTATAAGACTGATACCAAAGCTATAGACATATAAATTTTGTCCATTTTTTCATTAAACCTTTTAAAAAGTATTTTTTAGTACTTCTGGCCTTCAAAACATTTGTGGAAAAGGGATTGATTGAATAGTTATGTTTGTCTTTTGAGCTACCGGATTGGAAAAATTTGAAGCTTTTTGTGCATTACTTAAATTCAATTTGTGTTTATGGTGCATGTTTTATTGACTTTCTCAAATATGTGGTTATTTTTGTCAAAGTGCATAGAAAGGTTCATTAGTGCTCTGAAATATCTTCTGTGTAATATATGCTTTATTGAAGGAGGAAAATCCATCATACTGTTAGAATTAATATAAAATTACAATCCTCAACCATCATCATCACTTTGGAGTTTTGGTGTAATGGTTAGGGACTCTAAGATGGTATGAGAGCAACCTAGGACAGCCATTGGTAAAACTTTGGTATATCCCTTGTGTACCTTTACTGCTTAACAATGTTGATGGTTTTGGTACCATCTAGACTCAGTTGGTTCTAATAATAGATTTTTTAGAAGAATTAATCAAAATCCAGAAGCCTATTTGAGTTATATATATGAAAAATGAAAAAAAGAAAAGAAAAGAAAGGGAGTGGTCAGAGATCTTTTAAAATTATTAAAAACTAATAAAAATTCAAACGATAGTGAGAAACTTACCTCCAATAGAGTTCAATTTTACATTTCCTAAGAGTTGGTCTTTCCATCTGCTCAAACTCTCATCATCCTGAAAAGAACAACACGAAAAAGCCCATGAAATAAAAATTTCGATAAACTATACAAAAAAGAAACAAATCAACAATTTAGAAGAAAGAGAACAAAAAAAAAACTTTAGAATGAACCGTGATGGAGACGGAGAAAAGGAGGGTGGAGATTGTGAGGATAAGGAAGGATTTGTGGATTAGTGTAATGTAATAGTTGTTTGAACTTAATTTCTTGTATCGTACGTAGGATGTTAAAGGATTGGACCTGAATCTAGTAATCGGATTAGGGTAGTGGAGAGATTAAGAGCTACATTTTATGAGTGGAGAAGTTGAGAGGATTGTTTAAAAAAAGAAAAAAAGAAAAAAGAAATAAAGGCAAAAAATTGAATCATCACAAGTTGCCAAGTGGGATCTAGGGTTTTACTTTCAGTATACAGTACAGATTACTGTCTGTTTACTTTCAGTTTACATTATAGATTACTGTCTGTTTCAGTTTACAGTATAGGTTACTGTCTGATTGTGTTTTTTATGCTCTTGTTATTATTATTATTGGTGACTCTTTCTGGAGGCATAACATTTCTTTTTAATAGTTGCTTTTATTTCTGGTGCTTCAAACTGTTAAGCTCCTCTACTATATAAGATATAGGACATCTGTGCAGCAAGCTGCGTTACAAAACACCATTTTTAACCCTTCTTTATTAAGTTTGAGATATAGGACATCTCTGCAGCAAGCTGCGTTACAAAACACCCTTTTTTTAACCCTTCATCATTAAGTTCAGATTTTCTTCTGATAGCTTAGATTCCAGTGATTTATGCTTAGTGAAAATTTATGCTTAATGAAACTTGACTAATACTGAAAATATCCTAAAGTAGTATTCTAAAGTTCATTCATCTATTCCATCTTATGACTCCTTTTTACTGGATGGGTGATCTGCAGATGGACCTTTACATTGGTGATTGTTTATTTTGCGGTATGTGTTTCACTTCATTCAATTGATATAATGAATTAGAAATTGTCAATTTGTTACAGTGATTTATGTTTTTGTTTGTATTCATACGAAAAGCATTCCTAATGGAGCTTGCAACTCTCTCCCCCTCCGAAGTTTCATCCTTGATTTCTTAGTCTCCATGAATCTGCATTTATTTCTCATTCTTTTCATTTTAATCTATTGGCTTGTAGATTGGTACCGTGATATCTGCACATGGTTGTTGGATGCATTTCAAACAAGGTGCACAAGGTGTTACGCAAGATGAAGAGGCAAATGAATTTCTTAAAAGGGAAATTCAAGAAACTGATCACGCAACTTTGAATTTCAGAGAAAACAATGCAATCAGATCACGAGACAAAGAAGTGAAAGAGAAAAGAGCTGGAATATTGGGATATACAATGCAAATCATCTATCAGGTTAAAATCTCTCTTTAGCTTTTGCAAAGAAGACCAGTACAGCATATCCACAATAAATGCTACTGTCTTCGCATAGTTGTATAATTTCCAACCTTTTATCTTAAAAGAAGGCCATAACCTGGTGCAGGTGGGATTGGAACCCTAGACCTCTTGCCTCCTATTTAGAGGCTTCACCACTGGTGCTATAATGACTCTCCCTAATTTCTTTATTGTAGATATGACACCATATAGTATCTTTTAAAGTTCACTCTTCTAGTTTTAAGTTACATTAGGATGACAAGAGTTGCAATTTAGTTAAACTTTGGCTGTTTCCTCTATAAAGTGATAGTTTTGTTAATTTCTTTTTTCTTTTTATATCATGTTTCATAATTTCTATTGACAGTATGATTCTGGATTCTTTAATTTTGCAGATCTGTGCAGGTGCTGTTATGCTGACAGATATTGTCTTTTGGTGTCTTCTAGCACCATTTATGAGCGATCATTTCTCTGTTAATGCGGTTAGTAAACTTTAATTCGATATTCTCTAAATAAAACATTGTGTCTTCTTTTGGTCATACTTGAGATGAATAGTAAGGCCCTTCATGCTATTGTTTTCACCTTTTATTGCATTTCCAGATGTCTAGATTTAATACTTGTTGTGAATCCAATACTTTGAATGTTATTCTTTTGGTCTTACTTGTGAAGTTTTACCGTTGAGGCATTTATTTAATACATCTGTCTGCAATTCAAGCAGTAATGGAAATAAATTTGACTGGCTCATTCTTGCTGGTACCAGCTTTTTAATAGTTATACTGATTGCAAGCAAAAGTTTTAGAGCATCTGTGCTTGCTGTCAAAGCAAAATTCTACGCACCATTTGCTACATTTTGTGTCGTTCTAGTTTTGAGTCATCATTTTTGTCAAGAGGCTTCGTATCCTTTTGGATTGTGTATTCATTGTTCTTTTTCTTTTCATCATAGCTTTGGTTGTTACTGAACTGAAAGGCTAAGGGTGTCATGTACATAATCTCAGGGTTTGGGATAAAAGCTCTTTGTTCGTTTTGCAGTAGTTGATCTCAGCTTATTCTTGACTATGTACTGTCTAGTTTTCTGATCTGCAATGTTGATTTTGCTTGCAGTTAATGTTTTGCATGCATAGTCTCAATTTCGTCTTTCTTCTACTTGATACTCTTCTCAATAGCCTGGTGAGTATATTACCTTTTGTAGATGATATATAGTGGCTACCTTCAATGTTTCAAATAATCTTTGTCTAAATCTGGTCCTCTTTCCAGCCATTTCCCTGGTTCCGTATGGCATATTTTGTCTTCTTCAGCTGTATATATGTTGTATTTCAATGGATCCTGCATGCCTGTGGGTTTACTTGGTGAGCATATTCCTACTTGAAAAAATAACTACTTTTGTTGCAACATTTTGTTTCAGGTCCTTCCATAGAATTCAAATCCTTATAATTAGGGATAAATCATGCAGGCTCAGATTGGTTAGTTTTTAGACTTTGGCTGAAGTATAGCTGTATGAGATGGTGGAAATTTGGTTGTGGACCAGTTTGGGCATTTTTAATCCTTAACCATTTGGGAGTTTATTGCGTTTTTAGGGCCAGCTCAATGCCCAGCGNAGAAGAGGAGAAGGAAGATAAAAAAATTGGATGTATAGTATATACACATTTGTTTCTTTGGTAGAAATGAGAATGGATTCAATATGTAAAAAACTATAAATGTGTAGAGATGATAATGATCCCAAGATCCATGCGAAAACTTCGTGAAAACTTTTTTTTTTTTTTGAATCACTTTGCCAAATCTTTTCTGGAAGACATTTGATTAGCGAAATCGCTATTGCGGAAGAGAACCACATAGACATTTTGAATCTTTGTTTTGAATGCTTGCAAAATATCTACTTTCTAACCTAAAACTACTGATGCTTCTTCAGGTGGCCATATCCTTTTCTTGAGCTATCGACTCCCTGGGCGCCTGCATGGTATATAATCACATTACCCTGTATTAAACCTTTTCTACTGTTCTTCTCTTTAATTTGATACTCACACCGATATGCATGCAACTGACAGGTACATTGCAATGGCATTGGTTCATGTCCCTTGTTATTTCTTCTATTGGCTAGTAGTAAAAGCGAAAAATTCATTTTTGCCCAAATGGTTTCCTCATGCTTATGTAAGATCATATTAACATTTACATCGCTTGTGATGAAACTGCTTCAGAGTTTTTTGTTGTATTATGAGAATGAGAAGTTACATATATTTATAATGAAAAGGAGCATTTATTGGTTCCCTTTTTTGCGTGAGTGCTTTGCTTGAGTGCTAGAATTATGTCCAAAATCGATGAGCTGCTGCTCTTCTATTTCTTGTTTTCTCTGTCCATAAAAGAGGTTGTTGATCAAGTTGTAGACATCTCATTAAGATTCTATGTAGTATTGATCAAGTTGTAGACATCTCATTAAGGCTCTATGTAATTCATCATTTATTACGTGAGAGGGGTTTGCATCTATGGTGTGGTGTCACATAGAATGTTTCCTTTCGCCGTGATGCGCATAATGGATGGCCACAAACCAAAACTAAAAGCGGTACGCGTTACCTAGGTTGTTCGACATTTTGAAGTGAAAGTAGAACTGGTGAAGGTGAGCTCACCCTTGACAAACATTAATGAAACACAGTGGAAGTGCTGCTCACTTATCATCATAGCGGATGAAGGGCAAAAGTTATGCAGGTCTCATTTTTGGAATCTAGAGAGCAAAAATGAAAGATTTTACACGTAGCGCCATTTTCTCGTAACTAAAGCTTGTAAGTGTTTTATCTTGCACACTTTTATAGCCGTGCCAAGCAATCTAAAAAAAAAAAAAAAAAAAAAAAAACTATTGGAAGGCCTCAGTGCACTTGCCAGCGGAGGAAACAGAGTAAATTTCACAAAACTACCGCCAACTATTTGGCCATTTTGTATAAAAATAAAGTAAATTGCTTTTACTAAACGAAACTACAAAAAGAAAATTCAAATTGGCAGAAAAAACACCACATACTAAAAAAAAATCACTAGCTTTGTTTGGATACCATTGTGTTTTTCTTGTTGTGTTTTTATAATAAAACATCATGGTATTGTGTTTTTTTCCTTAAAGTGTTTTAAGAACACCATGTTGAGTGTTTCTGGTCATCGACAGTTTGACCCATCACAACATTAGTATTAAACATATTATTAATATATTATATATTAATTATAAAAAATATATTATAAATAAAATATTATAATATTTAGTTTACATTATTATAGTATTATAAATATAATAATCATATTATATTGTTAATGTATTATTAAATTTCTGTACTTTAATGTGTTGTAATTTTATATAATTATACACTATATTTAATAATAATATATTTAATATTTTTATATTATTTGTTTTGTAATGCATTATTAATATTTTAAATAATATATGCTATTATTAATTATAATTATATATACGATTATTAAATAAGAACAAATAGTATGAAATAATGTTAATAATTAATTAATATATTAAAAATTTTAGTATCAATAATTTTATAATTTCAAATATGTAGTTTATTAAAATACTGTATATATTATTATGACATAATAAAATATATTTATATTTATGAATATTATTATTATGTCATTAACATTTGTATTAATTGAGTTTTTTAGTATTAAAATTATTTTACTTTATAATATTTTATATTATTTATTATATAATATATAAATAATTTATATATTATATTACATTTACTATACATTGTATTATTATTATATTATTTTTTATTATTAAATATGTGACTATTATATCATATTTTATAATTATTTATTATTATATAATTCATTGTCAACATTAGATACTAGTATTTAATATGTTATTATATTATTATGTAAGATATTTTAATTATTATATTTTTTATATTGTATAATAAATATTACTAATATATTAGATTAACTATAACATACTATAGCATGATATAATATAGTATAATATAATAAGTATGTCGATAATAACTTTATATTAATTATATTTAGTATATTATATTAAATATTATATTAACACCTCCTCAAACTCAAAACCAAAACAACAAATTTAAAACACCTAAAAGATGTCTTAAAATAAGTGTTGTGTTTTATGTTTGAGGATGATTTAGCGAAAAAAGCGTTATGGTTTTCAAATACATGGTATTTTATTTTTGATAAAAATAGTATAGAAACAAATAAAACAACATGGTATTCGAACTGATCCCTAGCCTAGTATCGGTTTAGTGTTACCCTCTCTTATTTTATAATAATAAACTTATAATATAATTGTCCAACAGTTCATGATATTCCTCTCCTCGCTTTAAGATGAATGAATTTTTAATCCTCCACTCCATCAGTGTTTTACCCCGAAGGCCCGCAGGCGCATCAATTACCCTAACAACAACCCGACCCGACCATCCCCCAAAAATCTATAAAGCTCGCCCGATTCTCCTCCAAACCCAATCCTTCCATCGCCGCCGCCGCCGCGCCGCCGCCAAGATGCAGATCTTCGTGAAAACCTAACGGCAAACCATAACCTAGAGTGGAGTCCTCCGACACCATCGACAATGTCAAGCCAAGATCCAGACAAGGAGGGATCCCCCCCAGACCAGCAGCGCTCATTTCGCGCGGGCAAGCAGCTGCGAGGACGCGGACCCTGGCCGACTACAACATCCAGAAGGAGTCGACCCTCCCCTCGTCTCCGCTTCCGCGGCGGCGCGAAGAAAAGAGGAAGAAGAAGAACGTTACACGAAGCCAGAAGATCAAAGCACAAGAAGAAGAAGAAGTGAGCTCGCCGTGCTCAGTTCTTACAAAGTCGACGACAGCGGGAGGTCATCAGGCTGAGAAGGAGTGCCCAACGGCGAGTGCGGCGCCGGGACCTTCATGCGCGAGCCACCCCAATAGGACGGCTTACTGCGGTAAGTGTGGCCTTACCTATGTTTATCAGAAGACCGAGTGAGTCGATGGCCTAGGGTTTTGAGGGAATAATAGCCCGAGACCTCTTTTTTATTTTATTTAAATCAATTTAGCTTGTTTTATTAAGTATTCTGTTCTTCCTTTTGAACTTTCTGTTCACTCGCGCCGACGCGAGACAGTGTTCTCAGTTTATGATAAGCTACATTCTGTTATGTATTTGCGAGCAATTGTTTGTTGTTTTACGATGACTTAAGCCGTGCTGCGGATGGGGATGATGAGATGGATCGAAATACTACTTTTTATCCTGTTGATTTATATTTATATAAATCGGCATCATTTTGTTTATATACCCTTTTGCAGCTCTTCTGCTTTTAGGTTTTTATTATGTGGTGAGAAGATAGTTGCATGAGTGATATGGGATCTGTCTTGGTCTTCTCATGGATGTTGACGATTGTTTAGTTGAGAATGTTCTTGTTGTTGTGCCGTCCCCTAATAGGTTGAATTTTGTTTGTTTAAATCTAGAATCTCAAAACACAATTTAGTTTTACTTAATCGTATTCGTTTAGTGTTGGGTTTTATAAGCAGGTCGTGCCTCAACAGCGGCTCTTCCATACATGTTCGTTCTTGCCTTCTTCATCCATATCTGAATAAGCTTCTGCTGCTGTTTCAGAAAGTGCGTGGTCCTCTCCGTGCAACTAATCGTTCAAGTAGACACACATCTGCATGAGTTGAGTAGATGACTGACTCCTTCAGTTGGCACTTTCCACTTGTTCATATGTTAGGTTTGATGCACATACTAATCTT